CACAAGGGCTGGTGGGGGGCCAGCGTCTGCAAGGGAGACAGGAGCTTGACCCCTCCAGTGCTGCCTGGGGGATGGCCCTCCCTCTCCCTCACTGGCACCTTCCCATGCACACCGTCTCCGTCCTTGACCCTGTCCTTCCCCAGCCCTCCTTGCCCACCCTCTCCCAGCAGAGCGGGATGCTCCAAGCTCCAGAGACCCCTCTGCTCTTCTCCTGCCCAAGGCAGGGCACTGATATCCACAGCCGGGGATGCACAGGCTCTGCGTGTTCACCTTCAGTGGGATAAACTCACCCTGGTGCATCTCCAGAGCCACACACACAGGCACAGCTTTAGGTGAGGGGTCCTTGGGGGAATCCCAGGGATCAGTCCCCTTTAGGTCCATGCAAGACCCCAGCCCAACCCTCCGCGTACACCCATGGCCCTGCCTGGTCCTGGCACCTACCGGGCAGCGGGCTCTGGGCCACGACGTAGCTGCGGAGGGTGATGTCGGCTGCACCACCCGACTCCAGAGGGATGGGGTGCGTGTGGAAGTGGCGCAGCATGTCAAAGATGGTCTGGAACCAGAGGTGCTGCACGTGGCACTGCCCGCTCTCGTTCAGTGACAGGCGGAGGTGCTGCAAGTGCAGGGGACAGTGGGTGAGCCAGGGTGACGTTCACCCGTGCAATCAGCAGATGAGCCACCTCCGTCAGCCACGGCAGGTTTGCTCCTTACGTAGGACTTGGTTTTTCCCTGCTTGGCCACACAGTTCTCCTGCTGTAGGGTGCTTCCTGCAAAACCCCACTCGCTGCAGCCCCAGCAGCTTGTCCCCTCTTGGTGATGAGCACCACGCAGAAGCAGTCAGAGAAGGGTGGATGGGTGCAGCTGAAGGGGCTGCAGCTCCAATCACAGTGATGGGGACAGCCTAGGGAAGCCCACATCCCACCCGAACTACTTCTTCAGGACAGGTGCCAAGACCAGGCAGTTATATCTCAACACTGACGGAAAAGGGATCTGGCAGAAAACTGCATGTGGGTTGCTTTTTATAGTGCATCCGTGTCCTTCAGGACATGGAGCAGACAAGAAGAGGGCAGAGGTTGATGTACCACGCTCCCACGGGGCATTTAACCTTATGCCTGTGTAGCAGACACTGATCCAGCTGGAAACTGCTGAAGGGGCTGGGCAGGGTGCAGAGGGCTCCTGGGGTACAAGGGCAAGCAGTCCCAATGGGTGCCCTGCTGGGGTGCTGCGTTTGGGGTCTCTGTATGGCCCCCACTTGCTCGCAGAGCCCCAGGAGGGTGGGAAGGAGCCCGGGGTGCTGGGCAGGGCCGGCAGTGACATTGAGGACACCCACCTTTGCTTTCCCCTGGAAGTTGAAGGTGAGCACGTACTCCCCGGGCCGCGTCTCGCTCTGCCGGATGACGAACAGGCCGTGGCTCCGGGCACCCCCGAGCAGCACCAGCTGAGCCGCCTTGATCCGTGACAGCGTCCCATGGAACCAGGGGAAGTCCGAGAGGTTGATCTCCGCTTCCGCCTCGCTGTCCTCCCCTGGCCGCAGGGACAGCGGGGGGTTAGGGAGCACCCCGACATCACCCTCTCCCACCCCTTCCTCTGCGCACCCCCGAGAGCGAGGCACTGGGGTCACATCCTGCGTCCCGGTACCTGTGAGATGCCCGCTGGGAGAGGACTCCAGTGTCTGCAGGAAGCTCTCCAGTGGGACGTGCGCGAGGAGCTCCCCCAGAGAGTCCCTACCCCGGCCATGGGGCGCAGGGACAGCGGTGGCCGTGGTGGTGGTGTGAGCACCAGGCAGGGCACATCTGTCTGGAGGCCTGGGCACATCTGCAAGGGAATTTGCAGAGGGATGGGCTCAGCATCACCCACCGTCACTGGATAAGGGTGGGGGCTGACCTGCTCTGAAGGCAACCACACTGGAGCACCCCTGGCTCTCGGGGACATCTCAGGGCTAGGCTACGGCTCTGGTCAGAGCCTGGGGGGCTCCCAGCTCGCTTTCAGCCCATGCTGGGTTTCACTCCCCGGGTGCAATTGCTATGGTAGGCACAGAGATGAGGTGGGGCTGTGCAAGTGGACACTGCTCGTGGGGACCCAGAGACCCCAGTGCCTGCAAGACCCCAGGGACTTGATTTCCTGCGCATATCAGGATGTACAGGGGCGATGTTGACGTCTTCAAGAAGGGTGGACCACCTCCCCAGGGCAAAGGCAAGTGCGAGGAAGGCGATGGACAGAGGAAGATGTATCCCCACAGTGCCAACTTCAGGCTCTTTATCACTGTTGGTCTCCTCTAAACCAGAGCTGCCACCCCGAGATGCTCACCCTGCCCAGCAGGTAGGTCCTTACCATCAGCCAGGAACTCGCAGCTGCAGGAGGACACCCTGCCCGGCAGACAGGCTCCCTGCACGCAGGACGCCAGCTCGATGTCGTCCCCGCTGTCCCTGGGGGCAGAGCACAGAGCAGACGGTCACCCACTGGCTGCCACGCTGCAGACACACACACAGACACGTGGCACCTCCACTCGCAGGCATGCGATGGGGATTCAAACAGAATTCCAGCTGCGATCCAGGGGCACATCCCGATGCTCCTCGCATCCTCCTGGAGGGGCTGCCATGGACAGAAGCACCCACAGCACCAAGCTGGCAAACAACATGTCTTTTTGGGGGTGAGAAACTGGCATGGAAGGGATTAAACCCTTGAAAACCCTCACTACATGGGTCATGCTGGTCAGTCCTGGCTGTGGTATTTTGCTGCAACCTTGCTGGTCTGAATGGAACTCCATTACCTTGACTTTCAGCACTTCCCTTTGCAAGACATCCACACACACACACGCACGCTTCCCACCACCACCTTCCACCCAAGGGCGCTTTCGCTCTCACCCTCCACAAAGGGAATAAGGAACCCACAGGAATTACATCCCTAAAGGACACCAAGAAATCACGGGAGGCCCAGAGACAGCGAGTGGGGACAGAGCACGGGGGTGGCCGCAGCGGCGCAGCCCCACAGGGAGCATCCCAGTTACCCTGTCCATGCACTTCAGTACCCTTCTTGTGCAAACACCCCACTCGCTTGCTCCACAGCCTATTTTTATCCCGGCTGCCGGCAGCTCTTGGCTGCCCCTTCTCAACA